AATCTGTTCCCATATCTGTCACTTGGGCAACACATTCAATAATAATTATTCGTAACTCCTCAATATCCATAGTTGAATTAAAAAAAATTAACCAAGTGATTGCTTAAATTATTTTTCAAACCTCTATCCATGATTGCTACATTACATGCGACTAAAAAACTTTTAATATAACCTGTATCGTGAAATCCAATTACTAAATCTCTGTTAATCATATAAATTAAACTTGCTTTTAATGACATTGTATCAATATTAATATAACAATATTCATCTAATAAAGATAAATTTTCAATTTTAATTTGAAGTTTTTCAAATACAACATCATTTCAAATACAACACATAAACCTAGAGAAATTATACAAGTTCTTATCGTGCGTTTAAGTTTTCTTTTTGATGGTAAAATAAAAATATTACTTAACATTTTATAAGCTTTAGGGCCTTTAAAATATAAATTTAAACACAACATTTTAAATTCTTTACTATATCTATTACCATTTCCTTTCTTGTTAAGATTTTCTCCTTGAGCTTTTATAAAATTAGCTATTGGTTTTAGATAGAATTTATAGAGAAGTTTTTGAAAATCGTTGTAATATCTTCTATATCTTTTTTGTTATTATATTTGAGTTTTGCGCGTTTGTGTCTTTTTTTCTACAGCATCTAATTTTCTTCTAAGAGCTTGTTTCCTTGGAGTCAAGTTGGATAATTTTAATTCAGTTTGAGTACTTTATCATCTTTAGACTTTAGAACACTATTATTTGATAAATTAAAATCTTCAATTGAATTTATGCTTAAATCAGTATATAAAATTATAAATAGAAATTAAAAATTTTTGAAACAAATCAAACAAAATCCAGAACAATCAAACATTCTTTAATAAAAATATTCTATCTGCAGTAATGGTTGTTAAACAATTAGTTTTAAAAGTGGATACATCTTTCTGTAAATATTCCATGAAACTTCTCATTGGAATTTCTATTGACATAAATTTTTGAAAATAATTTAATATTTAAGAATAATATTGCACTGTAATATTGACTAATTAGTAAAGAAATATGTAAACGTAAATAATGTATTTAATAATTAAAAAAGTCAATTACCATTGCTTTCACTCTGAGCGGTAGTAGCTATTACATTAGTGATATTAAAAACTGCATTTGGAATTGCATGTGACTGCAGGCGATTTTTTAAATTATTTAAAAACATATGTGGAGCAAAATATTTTGAGCAATCTCTATAATTATTGTATAGTTTCCCTTGTGGAATATTTTTTTTTATACCGCATGCCTCTGATCATAATTTTGCTCTAAAATATATATTACTTATTTATAAATTTATTTCATTTTAAGTAATTCAATATATATGTATAATAAATAATCAAAATACTGATATCTTTCTGGATTTAATGGAAAACGAAAAAAAACTTAAATATCGATCTGTTGTTGTTACAATAGATCACGCATCGATAAAGCCACCAATAATTTTACATTCCATATTTCCAGCTATTTTTCAAATTAGAAATTAAGAATATCTTTCTAAAAAATGTTTACAAATTTATTACTATGTTTATGTATAGTATAATATAAAAATATAACCATATATCCACTTAATCATTTTATTCAGTTAACATGTTTCAATTGACATGTTTCAATTGACGATATTATATTGACATATTGTCGATAGTAATGCGGCGCACGCGCTATGGCACATCTCCGACGCTATTTTTACAAAATGACGCTACTGGTTCTACTTATACTGTGAAGACGTTTCCTGTGGTGACGAATATGCGAGTACTAGTGGTGATAATAGATCTCTCGTTTGGCGCGAGATTAATACGGCATTTAAAAGCCATATATTGATTGCGATAATAAACTATAAATATATCGAACTTCGTCAATTTCTCGAAGATTCGATTGTGCTCGAACGTGTGCAAAGTGTCGGAAATATGACAATCAAAATGAATAGAATGTTTAACGGTGAATTTGTTGCGGGTGACAAACATGCAAATAAAAGTGTCAATCCGAGAAATTATGAACTGTTCATCCGATTTACTTAAATGCGTACGAATTGCGAGTTATCGAACGTTGGCATCGCTCGAAGAGTTCCAGGATCACGACAGCGGATTGTATACTAAATTTAACAATTAATATAAATAAGTATAATATTCTATATGCGGGATGTTATCCAATTACTGCGAGACATTAAGATAAAACGAGCGGAGATTAATGTGCAATCAATGGACAATGCATGTCTCGCGTGATCGGTGATCGCAGCCTTGCATTCGGCCAAAGGAAATGCAGAACGGGAATCGTCGTATCCACATTATACGACGGTCTTGAATCTCCAAGACATTACGTTGGATCAAATTATTTATAATTGAAGATTTTATAATATATTAAAAAGATTGAACATCTCAACGACATCTCCATCAACGTCTATGATATCGAAGCAAAGGAGATTTTTCCGATATATCTGATAAATAAGAAGATGAAGAAACACGCAAATCTATTGTACGTGCAAAATCCGCGCGATGACAACTCTGGGCATTTCACGTGCATCAAAAACTTGTCCCGCTTCGTGAGCTTGCAACTGAATAAAAAAGAACACAAGAAATACTTTTGTGATCGGTATATGTACACATTTTAACAAATTGTAAAATATTTTATAATTGTTTAATAAATACTAAAAAGAATCATATTTTTCTTTTGCAGATGTCTACATTATTTTAGTTCATCCGAAAAATGGCAGTCGCACATAATGGACTATGAACGGATGAATGACTGCGCTATCCGACTACCGAGCGAGAATGACAAGTGGCTCGAGAAGCAAGACACGTCGTATACCTATCAGCAGCACGAGGTATTTAGCTCGGATGCTACATGCGATGTTCATACGACGATGCGTTATCGGCGTATCGGTTTCGTCGCGCGAGGACTGCGTTGGTTCGTGTAACATCTTAAAAACTTGGTACATCGCGTAAAAATTCTGTTATCCGCGAACGTTCCCATGGTAATATTGTCGAGAGAATAATGGGAGGTATACCGTAGCGCGACGCGTTGTCATATTTACGAGAAACCATTTGCGTCGGACGACACGCGGATACGCAATCATTGCCACCATACAGGTCGTTACCATTACGCAACGCCTGCTAAAATATATGCACATATTACGCACATAATTTGAGTTCCTCACCGACATGGATATTATGTTTATCAAGTTATCGGTATACATGGCGGCCTTAGTTAATGTTCCGGCAGATCAATGACGCGCAGGTCAATGACAAGTACATGCGTTCATATAACCCATCGAAACCGTCATTGTATTACGACGTGAACAATCTATGGAGCAATGTGTCAATCGTTATATATGCCGAATTTCGATAGAAGACATTGCAAACTTTGACGCGAGCGCGATCGCTCCTATGTGTTCGTCCTATGTGTTCTCGAGATTGATCTGCATGACCGATACATTGACCTATCTTTCTGTCTGACGCGCGATAAGCCACTCGGCACGCGGCTGGACAAACTTTTCGTGACGCTATACGATAAGAAGTGATACGTCATCCATTATTGCAACTTTCAGCAATGTACGCGCCACAGTCTTCGTATCGCAAAGATACATCGCGTATTACAATTCGCTCAATCCGCCTGGCTCTGTGATTACATCAAACTTAATACGCAATTTAAAACGTGCGCGAAAAATTTGTATAAATTGATGAACAACGCGGTATTCGACAAAACGATGAAAAATGTTCGAAATCACGTAGATGTAAAATTAATAAAGAAATGGGATGGACAGTACAGCGCGGTGGCAATGATCGCGAATTTTCACAGCCGCAGCGTTGCGAAAAATTTAATCGCCATCGAACTGCGCAAACTTAAGGTGAAGTTCAATATAATTAAATTCTTTTATTTATTTTATAATCAAATATTATTTTTCAATTAAAATTTCTCATTTTAAATAACAACCTTCCTCTATAATATATGAACAAATGATTATACTCTACAAATCATAAAGACATTGGAATTCTATACTTTTTATTTGCTATTTGATCCGGAATAATTGGATCATCTATAAGAATAATTATTCGACTTGAACTTGGTTCATGTAATAGCTTAATTAATAATGATCAAATCTACAATTCAATAGTAACAAGACATGCTTTCATTATAATTTTTTTTATAGTTATATCTTTTATAATTGGTGGTTTTGGAAATTTTCTTGTTCCATTAATACTTGGAACACCTGATTTACACCTAATTTCCTTATATATATTATATTTCCTAATAAGTCGATTTACATGGATGTGTATACTCGACATATCGAAAATCTACTTGTACGAATTTCACCACGACATGTCACCGCTGTATCGCGACAAATGCAAAATGTACACAGACAAATCGAGTGAGAGACCAACATCGCTCTGGAGTACCGGTCGTGGGGATTCGAAAGAATACATGTATATATGTATATTGTAATGTATATATATATATGTATCATTGTATTGTTGACGTGTTATTCTAAACACGTTATTTGCGATAAATATCATCACATGCCTCGGTAGTCGAAAGGATAAGATGCCTGCCCGGTAAGCAGGAGATCCAGGTTCGATTCCTGGCTGAGGTGATATTTTTTTCGCAAAAATAATTACGAGTTTTCACGACTGGTTCGTGGTCGGGCCCCGCCGTGACGCACACCCTCCCTTCT